CTAAGGTCGATCAAAGGTTGTGTTTGTATCTGCTGTGGTGCTACCGTAGGCGCGATTGCTCCCCTGGTTTCTAGAATGCTGAGATCTTCTTGGTGTTGGTCGTTATCTTCTATCACCTTCCCATCTCCCTTAGGTACATCTTCTTGGCGTTCTTTTGACAGGGCGTTAACAGCATCTCTAGTCCTCTTGAGTAGGGCATCTTTGGTTTGTTGTGATTCATCGTCCTGCAATAGCAATATCGGGATTCTCTCAATACGCTTATCCAAGTGGTTTAGCCTTGCCAGAAGTCGGTTGTACTCATTGTCTTTGCCATTTCCCTCATAATTGTCCACCATTTTCTCGATATCATCAATTGTAACCTCACATTCAGTCAATTCCTTAACTACATCCATATTATTAATAACCTTCTCAACAATAGCTGTATTGTTCATTAAGCATTGGTTGAGCCGTTTCCTTAGCTCATCCGCTGTTCCCGTTGCGGGTTGTCCCCTGATCTTCAATTCATAGGCCACTTCAGATTTCCTTAAGTGGTAGCAATTCATATTGATCAACAAAATTGAGTTAAATAACAGTACAAAGAAGGTTCACAGACACTAAGACTCCGAATAAATTCTATGAAATATAATAAACTGTGGAGATCGAGGTAACACAATGAAACTTGTCCCTTCTAGACCCTCAGTCTAACATAAACCAATGCAATGAAATAACTAACTCAGGCCCCACGTTGCGGGCGTCATTTTGCAGCCTCACAAACTGCTGTGCCGGGCTTTGCTCAGGGAGATGGGTCGGGTTCACTAACAATTATCTTCCTTTTAACCTTTTTTACTTCTATAGCAACCGGTCTATTGGTACTAGCTCGGTTTTGAGGGCGCCACTCCGTTCGGAGATCTCTCATAAGAGTTTACAACGGAGAGAAAAACTCTTCTCGTGGTTGCTATGGTAGTAAGGCAGAGAGTTAAACTTTACCTAACCCGATTTTCATGTCTGATGCCGTAACATCAATACCCTAATGTATTTTAGTAAGTCTACCTGATCAATCTCAAACAAATATGCAAATATACAGTACCCAATATTATTCAAATAAATATTTACCAACTGACTTAAGACTAAGATAATAAGATACCAAAAGGAAATTATCCAACCAATCAAGGTTAATACCACTCAAATTAGGCAAAATCTGTTTAACTGTACTGAAAGAATTGGCCTAAGCCACACTTGCAATCTGTTGTTTGATTGTCCACTAATCTAGACAAGTTTAAGGAGATCAATAAAAAGAATGATATTTCTGAAAGAATACGATTAACTTTAATCACTGATTGTGTTTAAGGCACTTTTGAAAGTTCAAACAAGTTACAAGAGTTAATAGCAAACAAATGTTGGTACTCTGAATCAGAATAATGACGTTGACAACAAAGATACAATACAAATTTATACAAAATCTCAATGGTTAAGGCACTTTGGCAAAAATCAGACAATGTAAACAAGTTATTAATCTAAATAAATGGACCCTTTATACGACAAGTAATATATCTAAACAACTTAATTATCTATACAAATACGCTGACGGTGGCCACCCGCTGAAATATCAAATACATAAAGGAACATGAATAACAGGAACATCAAACATAGGCCTAACCTAACTTAATCTACAAATTTTCCCCCTCCCTCCAACCAGATGAATTGGCCCCACAATCCGGAATCCCGGAAAATCCAAAAGTGAATTAGTTCTGTGTCAATCGCACTGTCCACTGTTTGAAAGGCTGGCCAGCAACCAATTAACTGTTCTTCCAAGAGTGAAGTTACTCTAATGGCAAGATACTACAAGTTATCACTTATCGGTTTGAAGCGAAGTCCCTCAGACTCAAAGGGGGGGGGGGGTTCCACAAGTCCGTTTAGACCAAGGTAGGCCTAAGTCTAGCCGTGTCTGGAATAGGCTCTGCTCTCCACGTACAAGCGCACTCCACCAGTCTCTCGGGCAGTCCACAGGCGAAATTCTCAAGGCACGTCAGCACTGCACGGCAGTAGGATACCAGAGTACCAGAGTACCAGAGTACCAGCCCTATATAAATCCCAAAATATAATAGTATGGCGTATACGGTACACAATATTTACACTGTGGGGGGAGGGGTTAGGCCTATTGTGAATTACAAACAACAAAAATACATAAGGTTCAATATAAAGCTAAATAAACATGAAATTTGCAGGAGACATAATAAAATAATTTACAATTATACGGACATTTACCTATTACACAAGAGAACAATCTAATAGTTACACAAAATTCAAAATGAGAGCAAGTTGCGCTTTCGCTTCGATCAAACAAAATCAGTCTCGGCTTATTTACAAAATATTTTCCGCGCCTTATGACTTTCTGAAATGGGCATGACTCAATTCAGCTTAGGCCTAACTCTCTTGTGAGATTAATTTGCAAAATAGGCTACAACAATTATTCAAGTAAAATGGCAACATGGGAAAAATACTAAACCTAACCTAACCTAACCTAAAATGATATACTCTTCTTGCACCACAAACCCAGCATATTACCTACTAACCTTGAGCCTAAGAAATAGGGCTTATGAGAACACTTGGGTTTTTTTTTCCAGTTGAATAGGCTAGGCCTAGGCATAAAATTCAAGTTAACAAAATTATAAAATTTAAAAATCTACGATTGATGAATTGAGAGGCAAACAACAAATCTAGGCTATTAGTATCCTTTAAATTATCGAAATTATTCCCAAAAGCAAAACTTGGAAACATGTGCGTCACACCTTGCAAACTTTTACATGAAAAAGATCCAAGACCGGAGGCCTATCTTACACATTTTAAACAAAACAGAACTATTTTACAATTAATTAGCCTATCAGACAACATGGTTTAGTGAATATTCTACTTATTCCACATTGAAATCTCACTTGAATCAAAGAAATATCTCTAAAAGTTACATTTTCTACAAACTTGTTCAGAACCAGACATGAAAGGAATGTGACGACAAAGTTTGAACTTTTAATTTAGTTTTCCTTTAAATCAAAATTTTGAATCATAAAATGAAATGAGAAAATATGTTAAAAATACGAATTATTCCTCTGCCTTACCTCTAATATCAGCAATTTGGTGCTTTTAATCCTTAATATCAAGCGAGGGCTTCTTTAAGATGTTCTTTCTTCGATAATCAAAAATGGAAAGGACCTAATTCTAGCCGGGCGTTCACTGCGCCAGCCACTCACTCCATCCGAATCCAATTGGAACCTAGGCCGTCTGTTAGCCTCAAACATGATTTTTTTTCCATGACTTCTTGGCGTTGAATATTCTTACAATCGACCGAGGGTTATTATGGCCATTGTATGAGCGCTATTCTAAAATACAATGTTGAAAGTAATTGGTTGGGTGATCAGTCCAACCTCCAATGGTGGCCCACAATCGGATTGTTACAGTATAATCCCGGGATCAGCTGAGACGAATCCTGGGAACCCCTAGCCCTGTGCCACTGGTTGGTGTGTTGAACCCTTTGCTAATGGTTGGTGTGTTGAGCCTGGTGGCACTGGTTGATGTGTTGAACCCTTTGAGAATGGTTGGTGTGTTGAGCCTGGTGCCACTGGTTGGTGTGTTGAGCCTGGTGCCACTGGTTGGTGTGTTGAACCCTTTGAGAATGGTTGGTGTGTTGAGCCTGGTGCCACTGGTTGGTGTGTTGAGCCTGGTGCCACTGGTTGGTGTGTTGAACCCTTTGCTAATGGTTGGTGTGTTGAGCCTGGTGGCACTGGTTGATGTGTTGAGCCTGGTGGCACTGGTTGGTTTGTTGAGTCTGGTGGCACTGGTTGGTTTGTTGAGCCTGGTGGCACTGGTTGGTGTGTTGATCCTGGTGGCACTGGTTGGTGTGTTGAGCCTGGTGGCACTGGTTGGTGTGTTGAGCCTGGTGCCACTGGTTGGTTTGTTGAGCCTGGTGGCACTGGTTGGTTTGTTGAGCCTGGTGGCACTGGTTGGTGTGTTGAGCCTGGTGCCACTGGTTGGTGTGTTGAGCCTGGTGCCACTGTTTGGTGTGTTGAGCTCTGTGCCACTGGTTGGTTTGTTGAGCCTGGTGCCACTGGTTGGTGTGTTGAGCCCTGTGCCACTGGTTGGTGTCTTGAGCCTGGTGGCACTGGTTGGTGTGTTGAACCCTTTGCTAATGGTTGGTGTGTTGAGCCTGGTGGCACTGGTTGGTTTGTTGAACCCTTTGCTAATGGTTGGTGTGTTGAGCCTGGTGCCACTGTTTGGTGTGTTGAGCTCTGTGCCACTGGTTGGTGTGTTGAACCCTTTGCTAATGGTTGGTGTGTTGAGCCTGGTGGCACTGGTTGGTTTGTTGAACCCTTTGCTAATGGTTGGTGTGTTGAGCCTGGTGCCACTGTTTGGTGTGTTGAGCTCTGTGCCACTGGTTGGTTTGTTGAGCCTGGTGCCACTGGTTGGTGTGTTGAGCCCTGTGCCACTGGTTGGTGTCTTGAGCCTGGTGCCACTGGTTGGTGTGTTGAACCTTTTGCTAATGGTTGGTGTGTTGAGCCTGGTGGCACTGGTTGATGTGTTGAGCCTGGTGGCACTGGTTGATTTGTTGAGCCTGGTGGCACTGGTTGGTTTGTTGAGCCTGGTGGCACTGGTTGGTGTGTTGAGCCTGGTGCCACTGGTTGGTGTGTTGAGCCTGGTACCACTGTTTGGTGTGTTGAGCTCTGTACCACTGGTTGGTTTGTTGAGCCTGGTGCCACTGGTTGGTGTGTTGAGCCCTGTGCCACTGGTTGGTGTCTTGAGCCTGGTGGCACTGGTTGGTGTGTTGAGCCCGGTAGCACTGGTTGGCATGCTGAATATCCCTACCTCAAGTCAACCATGGCACCAAGCTTAATACTCCCAGGGTTGGGGCGGGCCTACTTATTGAAACCTGATTTTTATAAACAAATCTTTTGTGGAATTTATAGTCTCATTTGCTCATTTACAAGTAAGTTTACTAATTCATGTTAATAATCCTAACGATTTGTCCTCAGGCCAGACGGCGTTTGATCTGGCTAAAGATGCTCAGATGCAGCAAGTGCTATGTGTGAAACCTGTCCGGCAGCTGCAGAAGACTACTACTCGGTTTGACGGTCAGTTACTCAGACGCTCTCGCTTCCTAGGATGGAAACCAGTTTGGGTAAGAATAGTTAAAAATAATATAAGAAAACTAGTAAACCTTGCGGCTCAACACGGCCCAAAATAACATATGAATTTAGAAAACAAATTCATTGTGTTATATATTGACTCTATGTCGGAAATAAAATACAGTAATAAAGCCTTAGAAGGAAAGCAGTCCAGAAATTTTATAGCTGTATGTGTCTTATATTTAGCAAATTAATAAGTTTTCAAGTACGTTATAGTTATTATTTTAATATTTTAAAACACATTTAATAAAAAAATTTATTATATAAAAAAACCAATATGTAGCATATTTGAAGGACATAAAAATAATGCATGAATAAAACCCTTTTAAAAATAAACACTAAAAACAAATATTTTTTTCTCAAAAGTACTTCCTTTAATATTAGTATTTAGTTGTAAAGTCACTTGGAAAAGTCTAAATTCTGATTTTTAAGGATTTCAATTGACTGCCATATTTTGCTGGGTTAAGATAGAGACCTCTAGTTTGCATTGTTAGTTTTCTTTTACCAAGACTTTAAAAATGATTGGTCACTCGATGGGGCTTAACATTTCAAATTTTTTAGTTTCTCCCAAAATCCCCCATCAGGACCTTCAAAATGGGGGGTCACTTGATGGGTGTGACCATTTGAAATTTTTGAGTTTCCCCCTGAAATCCCCCCTTTTGGGGATGTACACGAAGTGGCGGTTATGCCCAAAAAGTACTTCATAACATGCCGAGTACTTCATAAAGGTATGCAGAGTTAAGTTTTTCTAGTATGGGCCTTTAAAAAATTGACAGGGGGTCTCCAGACTTTTTAATAACCCTGTAGGGTGAGTGCACCAGTGAATGACCACTCCCCAGTTAATGACCGTTTTGTAAAAAAACATCATGTTAGGCTTTCTATTTTTCCTAGTCTATCACAAACTGTATTAAAAGTAACTTTGGGCCTAATTAAAATGCACTCTGTGACTGATTAAAAAAGAAAGTGTCAATCATCCTTTTGTAACGTAAACAAAATTAAATGTTTCAAAGCAGTTCATTGTTATGCTTCCCACTATGGCGTCTCGCACAAACATGGTTGGTTGTAATTTATCATGGTTCCTTAATTATTGATTGGAACTGTAATATATTACATGTAAATGTAATTCACAGGTACAATTCTGTACTCATTTAAAGATCAAAATCCTAACCAATTCTATATTTAAACAGGGACGCGTTGCAGAAAGTCAACAGTCCCGGAAGGTCAAATAATTTATACCTGTGCCGCTAGGTCAAAAACTACAATGTATGCAGTGTCTGTACATCAAAAATCCCAGTAAGTCAAATAGTACAGTCCGGGCTAAAAACGTAGTCTATGTTAAAGCAATTGACTTATTGGGAATTTGACCTAATGCAACAGCAGTTTTAATATAACGAAATAAGATAAAATATAAGTTCAGTTTCGCTGAGTCAACAGTGCCGGAAGGTCAAAAGTATAATCTGTTAAAAACAACGATAGTCCTCTCGACGCATGACTTCAATAATTTCGTGTTTTGGTGTACTTAAAGCTGTGCTAAAATTTTGAAATTTGGCACAGAGCTTCTTGGTTAGTCCTACTCGATGACTATTTTGTTGGAACTTTAAACTATTTACCGATCTAATTAATAAAAATTGATTTGTATGGTGAAATGGTTTTAAATCGTGATTTCTAACATGAAAAAGTTAGCATGCGAGATTTTTTGTTTGTTTTTGGGTTGGAGAGGTTTTGTTTGTGGCAAAGTTGTAGCCAAAAGTGTGATGCGTAAAATATATTTCTTTGAATTTTTTACAATCAGTGGTTCAGTAGATAACTTGGGTTGAAGAGGAGGGCAAATTTAGCATTTCGCAACGCATGGAAAGAACTACATCGTACGATGCGACTGCTGAGTGGACTTTTAATTTATAGTTAAGGACAAGAAAAAGATGAATATACAGATCACCAGTACATTCATATTATTTATAAAACATCTTTCTTTTTTACCAGCTTACATTTTTCACTTATAAGAATACATCATAAACAGGGTGTTAAAATAAGCGGGGAGATACTTTACCTAGTAATTCCTTGGGTCAAAGTAAACAGAAAATCAAGGCTAACATTTTGTTCCAATATCATTTCGTTAACCAGATATCCACCATTTTTAACCGACTTCCCCACTACCAACAAAAGGAGGAGGTTCTCAATTTGTCTGTGGCGATGTTTTTTTTTTTCTATGTATGTTCACCAGTTTTCCTGTGATTCTTTTACCGATCAGTGTGGTTCCACCACCAAAATAACCAGGAGAGTTTCTATTTGGATAATATATTTACCTTATATATTATGTTTAAGTATAATATTAGTTTCGGTGAAAAATTCTGAAAACCTTAAATATTTAACATTTATTTTGTTTACATTTGTGCAGATTGTTTACATTTGTGCAGAGAAGGCAATAAATAATAATAACATTCCTACAGCTGTTAGTTGAAACCATTTAAATGAAGCTACAGACAATTCTTCATGAAACAGTTGCTTCATATTTTGATTGATCAATAAACTATTTCTTGTCATGGAGCCTAAATTAATTACATTGAGAAAAATGCTTTTTGTTTTGGTTACTGTTGTATTAAGTCTGTTCTTCTAGTCATATGATTTATTTGTGTTTAAATATCTTTTGTTGACAGATGATTTTTGTAAACATGTTTTTGTAAACATTGGTTTAGTTTTGAAATAGAGTTTGTTGAAACAAGATGTGTGTTTAATATTCTTGGATTAGAAATAGAACAGTTACTATAGAAAATGTATTTTAACGTTTGACCTGATTTGTGTATACAGTAATTCTGTTTTTAGTATTGAATATTCTGACTTACAAAAACATATATGTTTCAGTGAATAGCTGTAAAAATTAAATGCAGTTATTCCTTACACGACCTAAGAAGTGTGACAGTGCATAATCGTCAATTGTCTTAAAAGTGTTAAATATTTTAATTACTAAACATGCATTTGCAGATGTGGAATGTTTATTAATATTCTCTACCCAGTTACTATTATCATATCAGTACTATTATGCGAAAGTCCTAGGGGAAGATGATTTGCAATTTCGACTAGGCTATATCTTGATCAAACAAAACCCCCTACATGACTTACACCACTTTTAGCTGAACCAATCTTTCATATAATATTTTCCAAAGGTACTATACGTGTTAACGACCAATTATCCACTTTTGAGAGATTGTTTAGTGCTGGTAGCTGAGGAATAACTTTCATATTGTTCCAAAAGGCTTGAGACATTACTGTATTTCTTTTTATAATGTAGAAGTACACCGATTGCAGGAAACGATGATGTCTGACATTTCAATGTATCTAGAAAAGACAATTAGTTTTTCATCAGGCCTAATGTAATGGACAACTCTTTCTTTCTTAAGGAATATCTAAAAATGTTTATTTTCATAACCAATGATTATGTAACCTCAACAGGTGACTCAAGCAGTTTTAAAATAATTATTGTTCTGTGGAACTTTTGATTGTTTCAAACAGTTTTGCTTATCAAAAAACCTCAAGTGATTGATATATAAAAAATTATACAGTCACTAAAAATCATGAAATAATTTATTTTTGTAAAAAAATACAACCGACTTCAAACGCTCTAAAAAGAATGAAATAATTTCAATAAAGTAAACTTTTGTATTAAGCAAGCTCACGTATTTCAAGTCGGCGCGGCTCAAACTGCAAATATGATTGAAATTAAATATTGTGTGTGTATTTTGAAAATCAATAAATTGTAGCTGGATAACATAAATATATGAAAAACATACTGAACTGTTTTGTTTTATATTAAAGGAAATATTTTCTTGTATTTTATGTTTACTTCAGAATAAATGCATTATGAAAATAACACACACAAATGTTCTATATGAATAGGAAAATAATTTAGTTTGATATTATGATAGGGAAAAGAAGCTAGTTTAGTATTAAAACGTTACTTTTCAAAGTTAGAAACATTTAAATGCGTTATAATCTTTTTAAAGATACTCGTTAATACCACTATAATGCCGATCCCTGATTACGGTAATAAAATAACACTTAACGCATAACTATGAAAAACACATGCAGATTAACACCTTTAGTTATAGATAGTCACCTGCAATATGGACACCCTCTTTCAATTTTGTATCAAAAATCATCATAGAGCCGCGCCGACTTAAAATACGTGAGCTTGCTTAATACAAAAGTTTACTTTATTGAAATTATTTCATTCTTTTTAGAGCGTTTGAAGTCGGTTGTATTTTTTTACAAAAATAAATTATGTATTTTTTACATACAAATATTTATCTTTGCACTTTTCCAACCGATGTTTATGAAACTTGGTATGTATTGTTACGGGCTTAACAGGTTCTTTACAATAAAAACTTGGCGATTTTATTATAACTATTTATTTACACTAATTATTCTATATTTACAGATATTACAGTTACCTAACACCTAACTAACCCTATCTAACCTAGCTAAAGCCTATTCTAATTTACAAAGATTCTACTTACAGCTAACCTTTACAGGATTTATCACTACTCTGTCACTACACTGTCACTAGTGTCACTACACTGTTACTCTCACTGTCACTAGCACTGTCACTAGCACTGTCACTGCCACTAGCACTGGTCACTCACACCGGCGTGCCGTCGCTTCGATGATTCTCGGAAGACGTAACTCAACTCAACTCCGTGTGCCGGAAGACGGTCCCTTATATAAGCTTTCCGTAGAACATTCGAGAGACTACTCGTAGGCTAGACAAAGGTGTTTACAGATCGCCGTGGAAGCTTCTGGAGATGTCAAACCCCCTATTGACGTAGTCCGTTGACATGGGTCTATTGTCTATCACTGGTGCGTTCGGAAAAACCGTGTAAACAAACAACCCTTTTGAGACGGCGCCTGGCTATTGTTGCGCGGGGCTCCTGACTTGTAACACTACCCCCTCCTTAAGACTGTTCTGTCCCAGAACAGATTTCCCATGAAGCTTGCGATC